CAGTATAGAAGTAGGTGCTCTGCTGTTTGTGGTCTTCCGCATTTACAGAGTTCTGTTTCTCTTCTTTTTACTCTCTTTAGATAAGCATTGAAGTATCCGTGCCCTATCTTAAGAGAATAGAAAGAGCTTGAAATCTCTCTTTTGGTGCCTCTTGGGATTACTAGTTGGTTTTTCAGCTTAAGGTTAAAGATAGCTCCGTAGCTAGTCTTCTTTTCTCTTGCTTTCTCCCTATACTTTCTCCACTCTTCTGCCTGGCTAGCTCTTTGGAGGAGCTTGATCTTAGTGCCTATAAAGGCTAGACTTGTTTTTGATTCTTTTGGTGTTTGTTTTGTAGCTTCCTTTGCTAAGGAATCTGCTTTTTCGTTTCCTTCTATATCTGTGTGGCCTGGCGCCCATTTTAAGAAGATCTTTGCTTTTCTGTTTAGGATAGCTTTAGCTGCTTTTTGGCACCGAATTACCCACTGCTGACCAGGCTTATCTAATAGACTCTGAAGCCTATATATGGCAGCTTGGTTGTCAGCGTAAACGTGGATATTTTGGTCTTTTTGAGCTACTTTAAGCATTCTAGTAATTACCCTAAGAAAGATTTACTGTAAGTTCTGGACTCCGCCTGTTCGCATACCCTAAGGGAGATATTTAGATAGGACGATGAACTTGGGCATATGTACGCTAGGAAGGTTATTTTAGGATTGCTCTTATTTACATGTTAGTATGTATTCGTCGTGTTAACGCTTGATAGGTTAGATAATATATATGCAGACGAGACTACCTTCTGCATCTTCTGTTCTGTAGATTATAAAAGCCCTGCTCGCATCTAATTCTGGGATAGGGTTAGTCTTAGCTGCCTTCTTACGGCTGAGGAGATCCGAGGCGTAGTATTTAGGCTACTTTTTAGTGTTTGTGTTAGTATGTATTGCTGCCGTTTAACCTTGTGGGGCATCTTTGTAAGCTGCCTAGATCTAATAAATACGGCTGTAATCGCCGCCTTAAGGCCAGGTCCGCAAACCTAGTAGTTCTGCATTAGCTAATCTGTCTGTATTATCTTTAGTGGAGGAGGATATAGTCTTAGTGCTTTCAATCCTCTCTCTCTTTAGCTCGTCGATTCCTATAGTACACGATACTTACTATAGTAGAAGAGAAACCGTAATGTAATAGGCAGTGTCCTGTTGGGATTATAAGCTAATAATAGGAAATTGCCCGCTAGTGATAGTTGGTGAGGAGCTGAGAGGTATGTAAAAAACTAATAATTACAGTAGGATGATAAAAGAAAGAACTCTAAAAAGTTGCATTTTTTTAACATCCATTACTTAATAGGTATCAGCGCTAATCTAATAAATGATATATAGTTGGTTAGAGAATTTCTTAGAGTTTAAGAAAGCAGACTTTTATAAGTACTTCGTTAGCACTAAGAAGGCTATATGTCCTCTTAAACATAGAGTAAAAAATTGTTCTAACTTTAGCGCCAAATTTCGCGCTCTAGATTTTAACTTTTTTAATATTAGTCTATATATATTAGTAGAATACTTACTAGGTAACTATATAAGTATCTTATTTAAAATAGATTATATATTAAATATAACTATAGAAATAAATAAGAGTTATTTTTAGATACTACTTATATAAACTGCAGATTAGTTATTAATTGTTAATATTAGAGTATATATTAATATCTTTACTCTATTAGAGACTTAGAACTATATTCTTCTCTTATATACGTAAGGTTATTAAATGTTAAAATAAAAGCCTCTATGCTATTTATAACGCTAAATACTAAATTAAAAAAGGAAGGTAAGTTATTTTAAATAAGAAAGAGCTAGTAAGGGCAGAGTTTCTAAGGTATATACTGGAGCTCTAAGAGCTATTAATAGAGATATTATTAGAAGTCCTATAAAGTAAAAGAAGCGTTTAATAAGAGAAAATAGTTTAGATATTTCTTCTAGAACACTTTTAAAGGCTCTTAAGAAATAAGATTAAACTATTAATATCTATTATAAAAAATAGATTTTAAACGCCTCTAGAGCTAAAAAGAGACTAGCTTATACTATAGTGGGGTAACCAAAAAAAAAGAACTCAAAAGAGTTGTGCGTTTTAAACATCCATTACTCAATGGGTATTAGCGCTAAACTAATAAAAAATATATCGTTGAATAGAGAATTTCTTGGCGTTTAAGATATTGTTATGGGTGGAGAGGCCTAGCGAATGAGTATGCTTCTACCTATCGTACAGAAGCTAAAAGATAAGAAAAAGAGAAGATAACTAAGTACAGACTTCTCTTATACCTGCTCGCTTCTGATCACGTGTCCGTACAGAAGGTATATCACGTGGTCGAAGATCACGTGATCCTCTTCAGTAGAGATCACGGGCGCAGCCCTTTACAATACTCCCCTCCTCCACTCGTACGGACATGTTTGCGTTTGTTTGTTTTCCTAGGAGCACGCGGCTGCCTAACTTGCGGTGGAGCAGCGGCGTTTGTTTGCTCTAGTGAAGGAGGATTTCCACGAGAGCAAACGCTCCCTCCGTACGATATGTAGAGCTGCCGTCTCTCTCCTTCAGCTTTTTCTTCCTTTGTGTTAAATCAATTTGACTCCACTACTACACAGATTTCTTCTTTTCTTTCTAACCACACTCGTACGATGCCGCCGAAAGCGCAACCACCCCTCGCGGTGTTTGGGCCAACGCAAACACCAACAGT